GAAGCGAGACGAGCCCAGCTACCTTGAAGTTGTTCAAAACGCCCCTGTATACCGAACAAAATACCTAAATATTTAATGAACAAGAATATAAACAAAGAATGAGTATTCCGATGCGTGACAAATTCTCTTCAAACGTGGCTACCTTGTATCTGTCCTTCTATGAAAATTAATTTTTGAAATTCTAATTTATATATCTTATTTTACATCAACAATTTTAATTTTAATCTAAACCTTATACATCCAAAGGAACTTATAACAGAAGGAAGGAATGATAGTAATATTCATGAAAGAAAAAATATATATTTGAACAAATTTTCAAGGGAAATGGAGAAGGGTAGGGTATTAAGTGGTTTAATTCTGTTTAATTAACATCATTTTGTAATTATTAAGTAAAAGAGTGGATGTGGGGAGTGCTGGGGGAATGGATGGTCTAGTTCTACTATGAGAATATTCTTGACTTTTTTTTACATCTTATAAAAGGGAGGGGACTGGGAGTTTTACATACTACGTTGTGGGTATAGCACTCTACTCCTAACCCTTAACTGATTTTACTTAATCGCTGGTTAGTTCGACGTAGGCATCTAGATCTTCTCTGATAGATGGAATATTCCCAATGCGTTTGGGTGATATGGTCATAGACATGATCTGTTATGATGGGTGCTATGGTCATAGACATGATCTGTTATGATGGGTGCTATGGTCACAGACATTATCTGTTATGAGTTTTAATGGTGACAGCAAGGACTGGTATTTGGAAAATTTAATCATGATTTTTGAGTCTATTTGTAATGTTATATATATGCCTTAAAAGGTGTAAGACTAATACCAGATAATGACTAAAAATACTTATACTACAAAATAATACATGAAGTATGGTCCCTCAATAATACATAAAGTATGGTCCCCCAATAATACATAAAGTATGGTCCCCACAATACATGAAGTATGGTCCCCCAATAATACATAAAGTATGGTCCCCACAATACATGAAAGTATGGTCCCCCAATAATACATAAAGTATGGTTCCCCAATAATACATGAAGTATGGTCCCCCAATAATACATAAAGTATGGTCCCCACAATAATACATAAAGTATGGTCCCCACAATACATGAAGTATGGTCCCCCAATAATACATAAAATATGGTCCCCACAATACATAAAGTATGGTCCCCCAATAATACATACAGTATGGGACCCCGGTAGGACAGCGGTGAGAGTCTTCGGATTTACAACGCTAGCATCAGCGGTTAGATTCCCCTCGGTGGACACAGCAGATAGCCCGATGTGACTTTGGTATAAGGAAACACACATATAAAGTATGATTTTGAAAGCGTAAGGCACAGGCACTGGATGTTGGGGTACAGGAATGTTTTGAAATTGATTCATTGTTACATATGATTGCCCCTATATTTCCAATTCTTGCAAATATTACAAGATTTTAATGATCTATATTTCATTTCATCGTTTTGATGCGTTGTGCCACAGAGCCTACAATATGACATATGCATGTATGTGTGCGTTGTGCCGTGGAATTACGTCATATACTACTCTTATTTCACAATATCCCCGCAGAGACGCAATTGACTTGGCAAGGCATTTAACACATCCCAGGGGATTCTCGAGTTCATTGCCTTAGTGCATGTAGGTGTTTAGCAACGATAAACTTGAAAACAACAACAACAAAAGGATCTACTATATTTGCGATCTCCATTTGTAGAATACGGTTTCATCCTTATCACTGTCAGGATTTTATAGGGCCGGATTCCTTACAGTAGGTGTCTGTGACTTGTTGGCAATAAATTTCAAAAATAAACGGACAGCACGCAATCCACTCGTTTTAAAAATATATATTCAAAGCAAGTCAAACGTATAATTTCGTACTCTACATGGGTTCATAAACAAACAAACAAACTCGGCATATGATCACAAATATTATTGTTGTAGTGTAATTTTAGTTCATATCAGTAGGTGTGCATTAGACCTGGCATGGCCTGGTGGTCAGAGCGCTCGACTAAAAATCTGAGGATCACTGTTTTGGGCTGCTGGCCGTCCACCCGATTGTTAAGATTCTTGGCTAATACAAAATACCCGAGCGGCCGACCTCAGAACTAGATGGCATTAAGGTCGACTCAAGAAGATCAGTGGTTGGTACGTCATTCTTATCTAAACAATCTTATTTAACAGAAATTAACTCTGTTAGAAATAGTTTGATTAGAACTTACTTAAAGTTTAGGTTTTTAAACGAAAAATGAACCTCCACGATTCCTGTAGTTTTCACTCTCGTTCTCAAAATATCTTGTTCGGTGGGCATGTAGTCTTTTTTCCCCAACCGTTCCAGGTCGTCAAGGAAACTGTGAAAATAATATTTTACATTTGAATTTCAAAGATAAAAAAATGACGGCTTAGCCGTAGCAGCCTAAAACAGAAGTATCAAAAGAACGTTTACAACAGTAGAAACTTATTTTTTAACAAACCAGAAGAATGCATATCATTGTTAACATAGTTCATCACCGTTATTCATATTAAACCTGAATCAGATATGATCTTATAAAAGAGTAAAACAACACAACTCAAAACAACAACGTAACTGTAATTATAATTATTGTTGCCTACAATTATTAGCATCTGAAAGGTAAACTTTGTTGAATGTTACCAATATAAATGACTAAACTTGCGAATAAAATGCCCGTTTAAATTTCAAACTGCAATTACATTAAATGTTACATAACATAAAAATATTAACGGTGCTATAATGTTCTAGTGAAGCTTGCTACAGAAAGACAAGTAGCATAGTTATAGTTGCATCTGTAATATATTGTTACAAGGATAAGTTCAATTACAACAGTCATTAGTTCGAACACAGTAATTGACATTAGCAAAATATTGGTAACCTCCAGTAACAAGCTATTCTTAAATAAAAACAAACAAACAGTGTCACAATAAGGTGTATTATCTATTAGTGAATGGAACTATAACAGTAGGACTTAGCAATATTTAATATATTTCTTGCCAGTTACGTTTTATTGATGAAAGATGGTCCACTTCTCTAAGTCACTGGTGTAATTTGGTTTCTTTTCTGATGCTTTAAATGGAAGAATATTATTCAAATTATTTGCTACACGAGCATATAAGAGTTATTGTGTTTTCCAGTGTTAGAAATAAGCTGGCCAAGTATAAAACCTACAAGATGGATACACGCGCAGCAAAATTGTTGATTTTACGTAAGTAGAAATGCCTTAAATCCGGTAAGATAATATCTTATTCTTTTTACGTAAGTAGAAGTGCCTTAAATCAGGTAAGATAATATCTTATTCTTTTTACGTAAGTAGAAATGCCTTAAATCCAGTAAGATAATATCTTATTCTTTTTACGTAAGTAGAAGTGCCTTAAATCCGGTAAGAAAATGTTTTATTGTTTTTAAGTAGGTAGAAGTGCCTTAAATCAGGTAAGATAATATCTTATTCTTTTTACGTAAGTAGAAGTGCCTTAAATCCGGTAAGATAATATTTCATTGTTTTTACGATAAGTAGAAGTATCTTAAATCCGGTAAGATAATATCTTATTGTTTTTACGTAAGTAGAAGTGCCTTAAATCTGGTAAGATAATGTTGCGTC